CCCGCTTTCAAGAAATTTTTCAGAATGAAACAATAATAAAAAAACTTCAACGATAAGACATCACAAAAAATCCAAATGCTAGTTATGACTCACCATCGATGACCAAATTCGTGCATATGAAACTCTTGATTCTTACGATAACCAAAGACAACTTACAGAACGATCAGATCGAATAGGAGAAGAGAGAAGAAAGTGTTAGATCTCCTCTGAGTGCGACAATAGGGCGCGATAGATATCGATCTCCTCTTCTAAGAGCGAGGAACGTTAGGGCACGAAATGGGGAAAAACGAGCTCTTATCGGAAAAACCGTGATTGCTAAGTCCTTGTACTGTTTGGACTTAGCAGACTCAAGCAACGGTAAACGCTCGATCGCGGTACATTAGGTGCGGGCCGCGGTACTGTAGAAAGGAGATTGTGTGTTTTACGAGGGGCACGAGGGGCACCCGAAACGCTTGAACCAAACTGAATGACTGTGTTTTCAAAACACACAATCAGCAAATAATCCCCCCAAACAGACCCTTAATGTCCTATTTATGATCAATTTCTATTTTCTATAAATTGCTTGTTTTATAAATCCAATCTTTTTTATTTTTTTAATAAACTAAAGAGTTCCTCCGCTGAAACGCGATATTTGCTCATGTAAATACCCTTCCACTCTCGCCCACCTTCGGCCGGCGACCTCGGAAGGAGAGAATAGCTATAGAGTTAGAGAGGAGGAGAGCATCTTGAGGCCTTGTATTAAGGTGTCGCTTGAGAGGGAGGCCATAGAAGGAAGATGAGGGCTCATCTCTATGTATAAGCTATGTATTCTCCATTTCTTTTGCCTTAGTGAAATATTTGATTGATTCCCTTCCGTGGACGTAGATCAAGTTGGATCGAACCACGTAAACGATCTGTGTTTGCTTGTGTTCTTTTTTCATCTCATTTCTATGCCAGGAAGTACATACCTCACAATAATTTTGAATTTTTTGAGTGCTATTAACGCTTTCAAGGAACTTACGATTTTAGGATCTTCTTCGGTGGTTGCTGGTGTTGTGGCCTCGGAATCTTGGGATTGATTTTGAATTTTTTGAGTGCTATTGACGCTTTCAAGGAACTTACGGTTTTAGGATCTTCTTCGGTGGTTGAAGGAATATTCTGTTTGGAATTTATAAGGCTCCTAGCATTTCGTAAACAGTTCATTTTGTTGTCTGTTTGTTATTATTATGGGAAATGTACATGAATACCACACAATTCTTATACGTTTACATGTCTAACATTTTATAAGGCTCCTAGCATTTCGTAAACAGTTCATTGTGTTGTCTGTTTGTTATTATCATGGGAAATGTACATGAATACAACACAATTCTTATACGTTTACATGTCTAACATCTAAAGATTGATATTTTCAGTTTTGGTTGGAGTTGTAATGAATGGAATGATGGTGCTTTGCAATCATTTTCCCTTTTCTTTTTGTGTTTTGGCAAGTTTTCATTGTAGATTTGGTTGAGACGGCGTTTTTATGTTTTTTATATAGCTAATGAATGAGCATTAAATGCTGGCGCGCTACTTTCAATAGAATATCTTTTCTTTTTTGTCATTATGAATGGTCAGCTTGATTATTGAATTACATCCTATGCTAAATGAAAGGGTCATAAACTTAAGAGATTGATGTAGATGTAGTGCTTGAGGAAATATGTGTAATTATAATATTCTCTGAGATAGATGACTTTGTGGAATATATGCAAATCTTCTCTAGGGTTCTATGTCTTATTACTTTTATGTATTTGTTGGATGCTTCTTGAGGAAAATATGGACATCATTGTGAAGAAATTTAGAACAATCATAATATTCTTTTAGGTTGACGACTTTGTTGAATATATGTGAATCTTCTCTAGGGTTCAATGTCTTGTACTTTTATTTATTTTGTGGATGTGGATATATGTTCTAGTGTTCACGTGTTAGGCATGAGCATATAGTTGGCTTTGTTCTACAAAGAGTTGGTATTGAAGTTCTTCTTTGTGTGCCTTATCTTTCTCTTTATTGTGTGCCTTTATTGAATCCATGTCTGTCATCAATTTTATTTTCTATTTTTAATTTTTATTTTTTCTTTTTTTTTAAGATATGTTTGGTTAGTATAATTTTTCCATGTTTTTATCTTTTGTTTATGAAAAAAATTACTTTTTTTTAAAATCACTCAAGACAATTAAGAGGTATTTTGAGTATTTTTAGAAATAATTACCACATCCAAACATATTTTAGAAGTGTTATGAAGAAAATGGGAGACATTATTAAAGGTTTGACAATTTTTCCACACACCCAAAGTTTGTGAATAAGGTAAAAGTCCGACAAATTTTAAAATGTGCCTCAAATTTTGCATTATTCGAAATTCAGTCGATTCAATTTTATAAAATTCTATGTGTAAAATTGATAAATAGCACTATATATTAATTATGAATATAATGGGAGATATAAAATTAAGAAGTTATAAGTTTAATAATTTAATTAACCTTAGATTATTCCCTAATCTCCCTTACATGAAGATATTGACATACAGAAAAATCCAACTTACATCGAAGAGCCTGAAAGAATATTAGACATTGATGTAAAAAAGCTAAGAAACAGACATATTTCTTTCGTCAAAATAAAGCGGAAACAAGAGCCTGAAAAAGAAGCCTTGTGAGGATTAGACATTGATGTAAAAAAGCTAAGAAACAGACAGATTTCTTTCGTCAAAATAAAGCGGAAACAAGAGCTTGAAAAAGAAGCCTTGTGAGGAAAAAAAAAAAAAAACTATGACAGAGTTATCCCTCTCTCTTCAAGTAGTTAGAAATTTGTAGGATAAAATTTGGATAAGGAATGGAGAGCTGTAACGACTAAAATTTATGAATCAGGTAAAGGTTCGACAAATTTTAAAATGTTCTCAAATTTCTCATTTTTCTGAAATTCAGTTGAATCAATTTTATGAAATTTTCCTAGTCAAATTGACCAAATTGATATATAACACTATATATTACTTATGAATATAATAAGGATATAAAATTCAGAAGTTATAAGTTTGATAATTTAATTAACCTTTGATTATTTCCTAATCTACCATACATGCAATGTTCCTAATTAACCTCTGTTCGCATTTTTCAGCTGTATGATAGATCAGATGGCTGAAATCCATTAGACTTTCACTAAGGGCTGCATTTCCTCTTGATTTTTCTCCACCCACGAGTTCTTTCACTCGGTTATTGTTCTTTGTCACAAATGGAAAGCCGGCGCGACCCGCTGAGTGTTGCAGATGACCGTTCAGGGGTCCAAAAGGAAATATAAAGGTACAAATCCCTCTTTAACGCTATTCTAAATATTGCTTTTTCTTCCTCTTGTTTCTGTTTTGAAGTTTGCCATGAATTTGTGTAATCTTTCATTTTCGTTAGCCTTAACAGGTGTCAAACCTGTGTCAGAAGTGTCAAACTTAATTTGTAAGCTTCCATAAGGGCTATTAGAACAATTTAAATGAGAGAAAGGGAAGAGTGAGGTGTTATGAAAAAAATAGGAGAAGAATAAACGGTGTCAGAAGAACAAATTTATGTCGAGAAGCATTCGAGATATTTTTTGGCAGATAAGTTATGCTTTTCGTTAAATCATGAAATAAGCTATGATTCCATACATTTCTACAATATCTATGATTTTTCAAGTTATTTACATGCGATAGCGAGCTCGAGACGAGCTTGTGGGAACTCGTTGTAGAGTTATTTTGTCTAGTCAGGTGAAATAATCTCGTGTTAACTTAAGAGAAATAATTGTATATAGGTTTTCATGTGATTCCATGTTTGACACTGATGTATTTAGAATTTTTTGCATCTTATGGATGAATATCTGCATTGAATGTATGAATGATAGTTGACTTCCCCTTTACGATAGATATGATGTCATTATGCTATGATACAGATGAATGTGCTTATAAAATTAATTGTCTGCAGGTAATCATTTGATATGATTTATGTATATGATATATGAAATGCTTATGAATGTTTGCTATAAGTATTATGTTTTAAAGACTATCATGAGTGATGTTATGAGTAGACTATTAAATGAGTCTTGTAAGTATATTATGCATGAATGCGATATTCATAGCTCCTGGTGTTTAGACGTCGATGAAACTCTGAAAATTGTTGTGATCAGACGATGACAAAACATAAGAAATTGTTGATATCAAGGGGGTTATTGATATTGCTATGTTGTGAACCCAACTTTTATCAATAGTTAATATGACTTTTGGGGCAAAGTAATGCCCCATGATATGACAGGACATAAAAATAGTTGAGACCTATATATTTAAAAGTGACATTGCTATGAACAAATTTATGATTCTTATGCACAAGTTTATGATTACATGTTGATGACTATACAACAATGAATGAAATAAATATTTTATACAACAGTCATGATTTTTTATACTACTTGCTTTTCTTACATTTGCTATACGATTATATCATTTTATGGCTTGTTTGTAAGCAAGTAAGCATGTACAGACATGCAAGCATAACTTTGTTTTTTTTTGGTGTATAAAACCTTTTTTTAACATTAATTATTTTGCTGAGCTTGTTATTGCTCACCCCGCATTATTTACTTTCAGTAAGGGATAAAGAGCACTAGAGCGAGTAGTCATGTGTGACTTGTATAGTTTTTTGCAGTTATAATTCTGGAAGCTTATATAATCATTTGAGTACTTATTTTATTTATATTAGATTTAACAACTCTGTATAGTTTATATGTTTTGATGATACGATTTTTCACACATTCGAGTATGTATGAAAATTAATCAAATAAATTGTATTAAGTATGTTTGAGGCAATTTAGTTACATTAGTTCATTGTCTAATTAATCCTGATTTTGTTAATTAGGACGAGTGTTAGTGGGAATTAGGCTGGTCGAATTGTCTGCCTCTGCGCATCTCAGTCGACTCTTAAAGAGGGGGGCAGTTATGGTGTGACAACTAGGACCCCAACCTGACTCTTCTCTCGCTGAGATGCGAAAGACAATGAGGTTGCTAGGGCCTCTTTTGAAGCTCATTTTGAAGAAAATACAAAGACAAGAAGCTCATTTTGAAGCCGGATGCTGAGTCGATGAAGATGGAATGAGTCAAGGAAAAGCTGAATATTTTTCATTCGAAGCTCTCTTGAATCTGCAATCAAAGTCGAGACAACAAAGATTGCGTGCTTCAATAATTCTAATAGCATTATAAACATATGATTGTTATTATTTTTGAGCCACTTGAAACTCTTACTTTAATGCTTAAGCTTTATGAGTTGAATACTTAGTTTGGTTTTGAAATATAAATTTTTTATTGTTGATGAGAGTATGCATGTTGTGTGAATTTTGTAAATGCTCTTTCTGATTAAATGTTTAATGCAAAAAAGTTCAATTACTTGAGCTGCATGTTGGGATACCAGTTTAGTACAAAATTCCTTCACATCATTATTTGAATGGTTCTTCAGGATACTAAGTGCTCGTTTGAGGTGTCTTTGCCGTTGAAGAACTTTCTTTTAAAACCTATGGTATGAAAAACTCCATTAACCAGGGAAGGTCCGACATACGCGATGATCGTTTGTGAAAAAAGCTTCGATCAAGAACACCTAAAGCGACGCAGCGGAGAATTTCACCATTGGAATGAAGGAATGTGATCCAGAACGGGGGGATGGAACTCCTTGATCGCAAGCTGAAAACGGAGAAATTTGTTGTTCACCCTAAAGCTCTTTCAGAGACGTCGAACCACCAAACGAGTCGCCGGCGTTTGCGCGATGTTTTATGGATAGCAACGGAGGTGTATTGTTATTTCAAACGAAGCCTATGAGTCTTGAGGGGCGCTTCTTCTTTTAGTAAGGGCCGTACAGGAACGATTTACTGTTTATAAATTTTTCCGCTTCATTGTTTTGCCTGTATGGTTTGTTGTTTCTATCGTTTTGTGTTTTTGATATTTTGCTGATAGTTTTTTTTACTGATTCCTATTCCAAATCTTAATTAATGGTTAGTTTGATTAATCTTTTTTGTTCTATCACTCTGTTCGACCCGTTCTTTCCTTTTTTAATGTCAACATAGTGATTTTTTTCCCATTTATTTAAAGTAACAAGTTTGTGCATCAATTAATACTGATTTTGAATTTCATTTTAGATTTTTCAAATAAGTTTCTTATTTTCTGATGGCCACGTAGCCTTTGTAACTTTTTTGATTCTAGTGTTTTCATTCTCTGCCAGAGATTCAGTTTTACTTTGAGGATTGGGGATATATTTCCAGTTGCCAAATCTAGCCATCATAAATTCAACTCGACGACAAAATTCATATGGCTGGATATCCGCTTGGGGATTCTTTATTCCATAGAATGGATAAAAATGGACAGCCTAAAAGTTCTGAGGGGGAACTTGATAATTATGGGGCCAGGTGGTACTTTTCAAGGAAGGAAATTGAAGAGAATTCTCCATCAAGGAGGGATGGCATTGATCTGAAGAAAGAAGCATATTTCCGGAAGACATATTGCACTTTCTTGCAGGATTTGGGCATGAGACTTAAAGTGTAAGCATTTGTGGCTTATATTTTTACCTTTTTTTACTACTTTTAAAATTATGTTATCACCAAGATTTTTTTCTTTTTCTTTTGTTATATCAAATTTAATGGCGCCGTAATGGGAGAATGCTTAAAGTTGTTGTTCTACTTGTCATTTTTTAAAAATGCCTTTACTCTCTACTTTTTTGTCGTGTGGCCGAAATTTATTGTCTTTTACATTATTTATTTTCTGATAAAATTACTAAGACTTTGATGTAGGCTTCCTCCCTTAGAACATATATCAGATGCTTAAATTATCTCAAAATGCTTGTTTTTTATTTTATGCTTGAAATTGTTGACAGGGAGAATGAAATTCATGTTCTATTAAGAAACCCAATATTTTGACATGGTAGCATTGCGAAGTTCAGCTTCACGGTGTTTTTTTTTAAATGAAATCTAGATGTTGATAAACAGTTAATGCTACTGAAACAATCGAACTTACAAGGCTATGATGGAATTACTGGCCTACTTGTGGTTTTACATTAATATAATACAAGACACTAAGTATTTCTTGATGATAAAACTTTCTTGATAGTTTAATATGTGACGCAGGCGCTACCATCACCCTAATACGGGCGCTAAAAACGTTTCGAGCACTAAAAGCGGTTTGTGGGAAACCGCGCAAACTCCAAGGGAGTGGGAAACCGCGCGAAGTCGCAAAAGCGGGAGAACCCGCGTGAGAGGAGCAGCGCAATTCAGAGGGGCTATTTCGCACCGGGAAACCGCGCAAACTCCAAGGGAGTGGGAAACCGTGCGAAGTCGCAAAAGCGGGAGAACCCACGTGAGAGGAGCAGCGCAATTTATAGGGGCTATTTCGCACCGATTCTTTTTTGGGAAGAGATTTCAGGATTCCTTTTGTCGTTTCCACCCTTCTTTTGTGTAGAAGCTTCCTTCATTCGGGGGAGCCTAAAGTTGTTGTCCTAGGTGTGTGGGGAGTCAGTTCTTAGTGTGCTTACTTTTAGATCTCTTGTGTGGAGTTTCTTTCTCCGTTGTGGGTTGTATCTGAGGTGTTGGTGCTTCGGCTATATCCTCTCCAAGGTGGTGATTGTATCCTCCCTTTTACCTTCCCCAAACTTACTACTCCCCACTCCTCAATTGTCGAACTCTCCTCCGTCCCCCTAACACAGAGTCATTACCCCTTCCTGCAGGTTATTATTGTTGTCCCACCTTCCTAATTCCTTTCAAACTCTACCCAATCCTCTCCCCTGCAACCACTCCCACTATCGCTGTCGACCACCTACAACTCTTCCCACTTGCTATCCCTACAGTTCCGCAACCTCCCTTCGCTATCACTCGCCTCCGGTGGCTGTCGTCATCCCTCCCAATCATCCCTATCCCTCTAGTCGGCCTCTACCAACCATTTGGAATAATTTATAAGTGTTTGCTTATGTTGCTTTTATGTTTGTGTTGTTATTTCCATTCGAGTCACATTTTGTAACCCTATTTTATTATTAATGATTGTGTTTCTGTTATTTTTCCTACTAGTTCCGGTATTATTTGGTATCAGAGCTAGTTCAATCCCAGTCTTATCCTGGGTCTCCTAGCATCCGCCCTTACCCAAGCTAGCTCTACCAAATTTTTTTCTGTCGATTCCTAACCCTAGCCATGCCACCGTGAAGAGGTACGCTGGATTCGACCTGGGAAGAAATTCAACCAGAAATCTGTCGTCTACAATGGAGACTAGCAAAGCTGGATGACGGAAACAAAGAAGAGGTTACCTTCGTCCGTGATCGAGAGAGTCAAAGAGAAGATAGGGACAAGGAGATGAATCCGTTTCACGGGGAAGATCACAGTGACGAGGAATATCGACCATGCGGTTTTGGTATCCAATATCAAAGGAGGCCAAGAGAAGAGGTTGACGAGGAATATCGACCATGCGATTTTGGTATCCAATATCAAAGGAGGCCAAGAGAAGAGGTTTTTTATGAAGGACAGCGAAACTTTGGCATCAAGATTGTCCTTCCAAAATTTGAAGGAGGTATGGATCTCGATGAGTTTATCGACTGACTATTATCAGTTAAACGGATTTTTGAATACAAACG